ATCATTGGGTCACCAATGAACTCAAGATGGAAATTGAAAAATTCTTTGAACTGAATGGTAATAGTGGCACAATCTATCAAAACCTCTGGGATACAGCAAAAGTAGTGCTAAGAGGAAAGTTCATGGCATTAAATGGTGACATCAAAAAGTCTGAAAGAGCACAAATAGGCAATCTAAGGTCACACCTCAAAAAACTCAAAAAACAAGGACAAACCAAACTCAACCCCAGCAGAAAAAGAGAAATAACAAAGATCAGAGCAGAACTAAATGAAATTGAAATAAAAAAATACAAAAAATAAATGAAACAAAAAATTGGTTCTTTGAAAAGATAAACAAATATGATAGACCATTAGTGACATTAACCAAGAAAGGAAGACAGAAGATCCAAATAACTTCAATTAGAAACAAAATAGGAGACATTACAACTGATATTACAGACATACAAAAGATAATTCAAGGCTACTATAAACACCTTTATGTGCACAAACTAGAAAACCTAGGGGAGATGGATAAATTCCTGGAAATATACAACCCTCCTAGATTAAAGCAGAAAGAAATAGAAGCTCTGAACAGATCAATAATGAGTAGCAAGATTGAAACAGTAATTAAAAAAAAATGCCAACAAAAAAAAAGTTCAGGACTATATGGATTCACAACTGAATTCTTTCAGATATTGAAAGAATTGGTACCAATCCTACTGAAACTATTCCAAAAGATAGAGCAAGAGGGACTCCTCCCTAAATCATTCTATTAAGCCAGTATTACCCTAATACCAAAACCGGGAAAGGACTTAACATGGAAAGAAAACTACAGACCAAAACTACAGACCAATATCACAGATGAACATAGAAGCAAAAATCCTCAACTCAATACTAGCTAAATGAATTCAACAGCATGTTAAAAAGATAATCTACCATGATCAAGTGGGTTTTAAACAAGGGATGCAGGGATGATTTAACATACAGAAGTCAACAAATGTGATACACTACATAAACAGAAGTGAAAACAAAAATCATATGATCCTCAATAGATGCATAAAAGCATTTGACAAAATCCAGCATTCTTTTATGATTAAGACCAGCAAAATTGGCATAGAAGGGACATACCTAAATGGGAAAAAGTTGAAAGCATTCCCCCCTGAGAACTGGAACAAGATAAGGGTGCTCACTTTCACCACTTCTATTAAACATCATACTGAAAGTCCTAGCCAGAGCAATCGGACAAGAGAAAAAAATAAAGGGGATCCAAATTGATAATGAGGAAGTCAAACTGTGGCTGTTCACCTATGATAGGATCATATACCTAGAAAACCCTAGAGACTTATTTAAAAAGCTCCTGGATCCAATGAATGAATTCAATAAGTTTCTGGATACAAAATCAATGTACACAGACCAGTAGCACTTCTATCCACCAACAGTGACCAAGCTGAGAATCAAATCGAGAACTCAACCCCCTTTACAACAGCTGCAAAAAGAAACCCTTGAGAATATACGTAACCAAAGAGGTGAAAGATCTCTACAAGGAAAACTACAAAACACTGGTGAAAGAAATCATAGATAACACAAATAAATGGAAACATCCCATGCTCACGGATGGGTAGAATCAATATTATGAAAATGACCATATTGCAAAAAGCAATCTATAATTTCAATGCAATTCTCATGACAATACCATCATTGTTCTTCACAAAACTAGAAAAACAATCCTAAAATTTATAGGGAAAACAAAAAGAGCCCACATAGCCAAAGCAAGACTAAGCAAAAAGAACAAATCTGCGGGTACCACATTACCAGACTTCATACTATACTGCAAGGCTATAGTTACCAGAACAGCATGATACTGATATAAAAACAGGCAAGTAGATTAATAGAACAAAATAGAGGACCCAGAAAAAGACCCAATACTTACAGCTAACTGATCTTCAACACAGCAAACAAAAACATAAAGTGTGGAAAGGACACCCTATTCAACAAGTGGTGCTGGGATAATTGGCAAGCCACATGTAGAAGAATGAAACTGGATCCTCATCATTCACCTTATACAAAAATTAATCAAGATGAATTAAAGACTTAAATCTAATACCTGAAACCATAAAATTCTAGAAGATAACGTGGTAAAAGCTCTTCTAGACATTGGTCAAGGCAAAGACTTCATGACTGAGGACCAAAAATCAAATGCAACAAAAACAAAGATAAATAGATGGGATTTAATTAAAAAGCTTCTGCACAGCAAAAGAAATGATCAGCAGAGTAAACAGACAACACACAGAGTAGGAGAAAATCTTCACGAACTGTGCGTCAGACAAAGGACCAATATCCAGAATCTACAAGGAATGCAAACAAATCAGCAAGCAAAACAACAACAGCAACAAATAATCCTATCAGAAAGTGGGCTAAGGATGTGAATAGACCATTCTCAAAAGAAGATACACAGATGACCAACAAACATATGAAAAAATGCTCAACATCACTAATTATCAGGGAATTGCGAATCAAAACCACAATGTGATACCACCTTACTCCTACAAGAATGGCCATAATTAAAACATTTTTTTTTAAAAAGATGTTGATGTGGATGTAGTGAAAAGGGAAAACTTTTACACTGCTGGTGGGAATGTAAACTAGTACAACCACTGTGAAAAGGACTATGGATATTCCTTAAATAACTAAAAGTAGATCTACCATTTGATCCAGCAATCCCACTCAGGGGCATCTACCCAGAAGAAAATAAGTCATTATATGAAAAAGACCCTTGCTTATGCATGTTTATAGCAGCATAATTCACAATTGCAAAAATATGGAACCAGTCTAAATGACTATCAACCAACAAGTGGACAAAGAACCAACAAGTGGGTAAAGAATTTGTGGTATGTATATATAGTGTATACATATGTGTATATATATACACACACATATACAATGGAATACTACTCAGCCATAAAAAGGAATGAAATAATGGCATCTGCAGTAACCTGGATGGAATTGGAGACCGTTATTCTAAGTGAAGTAACTCAGGAATGGAAAACCAAACATCATATATTCTCATCGTATATTCTCAAATGATAAATCCTCATCATAAACATGTAAAAAGTATTGCAGGCTTTAAAAGGAGATATTTTAAGAATCCCGTGTGATGCTTAAGTAGTTAATAAGTGGAAGCTAAGCTATAAGGATGCAAAGGCTTAAGAGTAATATAATGGACTCTGGAGATCTGTGGGAAAGTATGGGAGTGGGGTGAGGGATAAAAGACTACACATTGGGTGCAGTGTACACTGCTTGGGTGATGGGTGCACCAAAATTTCAGAAATCACACCTAAAGAACTTATCCATGTAGCCAAACCCCACCTGTTCTCCCAAACAATTGAAATAATTAATAGTAATAATAATAATAATAATAATTAATGATAATAAAGGTGAGATCCAGAACAAAAAAAGATGAGCCCATGAGGTGCACTTCTTGAGCAACACAATTCAATTTATTTAATTTTACCTCCATGACTGTGAAAATATATTTTTTCAATAATCTAAAGTCACTACTCTCATATATCTACAAAGTTAAAATATGTTTAGAAGAGTTTTCTCTGCCTCTCAATGGAGGAGCCAATAGGATGATAAAGCTTGATTCAAAGAGTATTTGAGGAAGTGGGTGTTCATAGATATGTTTAAAAATGTTAGAATAGGCTGGGCGTGGTGGCTTACACCTGTAATCCCAGTACTTTGGGAGGCCGAGGTGGGAGGATCACGAGGTCAGGAGATCGAGACCATCCTGGCTAACATGGTGAAACCCTGTCTCTACTAAAAAATACAACAAAAATAAGCCAGGCGTGGTGGCCGGCGCCTGCAGTCCCAGCTACTTGGGAGGCTGAAGCAGGAGAATGGCGTGAACTTGGGAGGCGGAGCTTGCAGTGAGCCGAGATTGCGCCACTGCACTCCAGCCGAGGGGACAGAGCGAGACTCTGTGGGAAAAAAAAAAAAAAAAAAAAAGTTAGAATAAAAGTACGATTGCCTTTTTATACCAATTTGTAAAAGGAAACAAATTCTGAAGAAACAAGTGTTGATATTTACTCATTATACATATGCAAATTTCCTCTATAAACACTTCGAATCATTAGTTTTGAATTTAATGTTGTCTCTAAGCTTGAGTGACACAGTAGATATTGTATTTGTCTTCTCATGCATCACCTAAAAAATTTGTGTGAGACTTTCTACAGATAGCAAATACTTGAAAGCTTAAGAAAAAGTTGGCAAAAACAATTTTGAGAAGATAAATGTTATATAAGCTGGGCCTTCAGGACCTTTGAAAACTAGGAAAATTTTTATTTACTTTGCATAGGATAATGACAGTAGCCATAAAAGACTGGCGCATGTGTTGAAGAAAGAAGAGTTTTCAGAGATGATGATTAGATGCTTCTCAGCAAAAGTAAATTTGTAGAAAGGGAAGCCCAGAAGCAGATGAGAAATATGTAATTATGGAAGTTATTTTTAAATTTTTTGCAACACGAAATTTGAAATAAATATGAAATAAATTTTCTCATGTGTGTTCTTAGAATATCTTCATCATTTATGTGATTTCTTGTGTATAAAAAAATGGGTAATGCTTATAAGAGAAGCTAGAAACTCAAAGATAAGCAGACATCCATAAAGGAAAGAAAGACAAAGTGGAGCTGGGGAATATAAAAATTATTTGTAATCCATTTTGACTGAGCCCAAACTGCTCAGTTGGGCAGTTTCTGGTTTCTCCATATCAATCTTAAAGAAGAAATCAGCAGCTATTTATAAAACAATAAATCCTCATCATAAACATTTAAAAAATATTACAGGCTTTAAAAGGAGATATTTTAAGAATCTCGTGTGATGCTTAAGTAGTTAACAAGAAGATTTAATTTTCTAATTGCTATTAGAAACTTAGGGAGAAAAAATGGACCAGCATACAGAGCCTACAGAGAAATAAAACTTAAATATCATTGATATTTAAAGTTTTATGTTCCTCTTTCCTCCTAGTTCAAACCAGCTAATACGATTTGCAGGAAATCAGTTGATAAGGAATGCGATTTCACTGAATTTTGCAATGGAAGCCATCCATACTGTTTGCTTGACACTTATGTACGTGATGGAGAATATTGTGATTCAGGTGGAGCCTTCTGTTTTCAGGGAAGGTGTCGAACTTTTGACAAACAATGTGATGATTTAATCGGAAGAGGTAATAATAACAATTTTCTTCTTAGTCCCTAAAATCTGATTATTCCAAAGTCTGTTATTGAATTTTATGGAACAAAAATGTAAACATATGTGTTAATGACTGAATTCTTGCACAGTGTATATTATTAGTGTTAAAGAAAAGCAAAATTGGCCAGGCGCGGTGGCTTAAGCCTGTAATCCCAGCACTTTGGGAGGACGAGGCGGGCGGATCACGAGGTCAGGAGATAGAGACCATCCTGGCTAACGCGGTGAAACCCCGTCTCTACTAAAAAATACAAAAAAAAAAAACAAAAAAAAAAAAAAAAAAAAAAAAAAAAACTGGCGGGCGAGGTGGCAGCGCCTGTAGTCCCAACTACTTGGGACCTGTAGTCCCAACTACTTGGGAGGCTGAGGCAGGAGAATGGCGTAAACCCGGGAGGCGGAGCTTGCAGTGAGCTGAGATCCGGCCACTGCACTTCAGCCTGGGCGACAGAGGGAGACTCCGTCTCAAAAAAAAAAGCAAAATTATCTTTTCTTTTTCTTTTTTGAGACAGTGTTTCTTCCTTTCGCCCAGGCTGGAGTGCAGTGGCGTGATCTCAGATCACTGTAACTACCGCCTCTTGGGTTCAAGCGATCCTCCTGCTGCAGCCTCTGGAGTAGCTGGGATTACAGGAGCACACCATCACGGCTGGCTAAGATTGTGTTTTTAGTAGAGACGGTGTTTCACCGTGTTGGCCAGGCGTGTCTCAAACTCCTAGCCACAAGTGATCTGCCCACCCCATTCTCCCAAAGTGCTGGGATTACAGGCACGAGCCTGTTTGTTTTGCACCTGGTGCAAAAACAAAATTTTCTTGATTGTGAAATACAACAACAAAACACCTCTCTGAATTTATATGGAATTCTTGTTCCCACGGAAAAGAAACCTCAAGTGAAAATGCAGTTTTTCAAAATATTATATAGAATTTGTGGTGGGGGTTTAGTTTAAAGGAAGCAAGGTGTTTTAATCAGAGGAAAGCAGGGCGAATCACTGATTAGTTGGGTTTCAAAGGGCTTGCTGATAAGTGAGGGCTTCAGTTCACTACCAATCTAGTCCATTTTGATAATTTCCTATAAATGTCATTTGCTTCATTGGAAGATACAAATTCCTGAACGTATGCAGTGTATGTTCTCTGAGAGTGAAATTTTTCATTCTTAGCCCTCCCTTGAGGTCTTCTCTAACCAGGTCGTAGATCTCTAAATATTGTCTACAGTAATGTGACTGCCAGGAATTTAGGGAGAAGGTGAGATGGAGGTTTTGATGATTATCATAATTTTGTTCTGCTTTTCTAACAGAATCATTATTTGTACCATATGGCAAGACAACAGCTATAGACTTTAAAACATTGTTAACATACAAACAAAGATCTGGGTTCCGTAGCTCATGCCTGTAATCCCAGCACTTTGGGAGGCCAAGGCGGGCAGATCACAAGGTCAGGAGCTCAAGACCAGCCTGGCCAACATGGTGAAACCCTGTCTCTACTAAAAATACAAAAATTAGCCGGGTGTGCTCGGGATGAGGTGGGAGAATCGCTTGAATCCCGGGAGGCAGAGGTGGCAGTGAGCCGAGATCACGTCACTGCACTCCAGTCTGGGCGACACAGCCAGAGGCTGTCTTGGAAGACTAAAACAAAAACAAAATCGTATAAACAAATGACCAGTAAAATTAGGAGGAATGGGACAGTACTCCAGATCTATGATTTAATGTTTCTTTAAGTAAAGCCAGGACTCAATGCTAGGCAGATAAAATTAGAGCCACATAGTGGATTGCCAATCAGGTGTCTTCCAGCTTATGCTATTCACTGTGTATTTAGTATTATCAGTAATTTGGAGAGATTTTAAAGTCCTTTGTGAGAACTGTGGGAGTACGGGGGTATTTGCCCCAAATAGTACATTTTTTTCTTTTTTTTGGAAGGCAAGCATGACTTCTAAAGCATCTTGATTTTAAAATAATGTATGTCCACTTCTAGTGACCACATGTTAATGCATCTAGGACGTGATAATTCTGCACTTGACTACCAGTGAGTTTTTGCACTTATTTTTGAAAAACAATCTCACTTTGCTAGCCTCCTGAGGGCAATAGAAGCCTGATGAAAATTTTTCCTCAATGGTACCTGTATTTCAACACATATTAAATCCAATTCTTTGTACAGTAACATGCTATACGGGTTTGCACCCTAGGAGCAATAGGCTACACCATATAGCCTAGGTTTGTAGCAGGCTATACCATCTAGGTTTGTTTAAGTACACTGTATGATGTTCACACAACAATGGATACATTGCTTAGAACATATCCTCATCATTAAGCAACTCATGACTGTACTCAGTAAATATAAGGTAGTATTATTATTAGATTATGATATGTATTCCCTACAAATATCCAATTATTTGACTAGGTCATCTATGAGCTGTCATGGTCAACTAAAATGATCCTTGGACAGGGTTTGATATAATTCTGAAGTAGGCATTAGTTTTGCATGGTAAAACCTATATGCTATTTGTAGGAAACAGACAATGAGAATTCTTATACCACAGGCCTAATACAAATCATCATGCACCCCCAAATTGTTGGTTTCTGGACAAAATATACTAATGAAGTTGTCATATTGAAAGACATAGCTTATTCATCAAGCAATAGCATTTAAAGTAGGGAAATCTGTAGATCTATGGTAAAAGAACGAGGTTAACTATTAAGTTTTTTTTTCAAAAAAATAAAACCAGTAAAGGAAAAACACCTCAACTGGTTACCACCTTTTTCTAAGCTCTTTACTAAATATTGTTTTTAGAAATGTCTGGCCCCTACAGTATGCTCCTCTTCAGTGTTATCTCTGCAGATGCAAAAACTTCCTATTGTAGGTATAATATAAAATGATGTTATTACCTTTGTTGTTATTTGGTTTGTAGTTATGTTTGCCCTCCATAAGGCTGAAAGTCTCATTAGTTGTAAAGTTCCGTATATTATTAGAGGGCTTCATGACCAAGTTGAGTTGTATATCATCTAGACAAATGTTAAGTGCTAATCCAACAGTTATATAAAGTTTTCTCAACCTCAGCACTAGTGATATTTTAGGCCAGATCATACTTTGTTGTGAGGAGTGGGGACAGGGAATACTTCTCCTGTGCATTGTAGGATATTTGGTAGTGTCTGTGGCCTCTGCCCACTAGACAGGATGCCTGGAGACACTTTTGGTTGTCCCAGCATGGATGGGGTGAATCTTGGCTTCTAGTGAGTACAGGTCACCAGATCAGGTGATGGATGCTGCTAAATGCTTTACAATACACAGGATAACCTCTACAACAAAGCATTATGTCTGCCGTGCTGCATTGAGACCATCTTCTCTAGAGAGGGCCAGAAGTTTGACTACTTTTGCTGATTAAGACTCTGAAAAAGATTATATTCCACACTAAAGTATGAACAGTTTTTGTAAAACTAACCTGGTAATATTTCTTTTTCAATTTTTAAGATATGATTTATCAAAAACCGTATTGGATCAATATTCTTATGAAAGTGTCACAAAGATTGGCTCTGGGCATAGATATTTTCCAAACCATAGAAGCATACTTACCAGGGAATTTTACGTAAAAGATTTGCTGGATTATTGGATAGTTGTGTGAGAAGGAGAAATAAACAATATTTCGTGATTATTTAATCAACTAACAAAATATGTTCAGGGTTTTCAGCATATATGTTCAGGCTTATTTAGTATATAGCACTATAAAATTTAAATGTAATCCTTGTACAAGGTCTGAGGATGCTTCAACTAATTTATCTGAAGCTACAATTGCTCTGGATTTAAGAAACAGACTATAAACAGGTGATGGAGCTTTGATGAGCACTGGGCAGTTAGGTAAATATTCCTATAATATGACTCTAGCTTTAATGAACACATAGACACTAACATTTATGATAATCTGGAAAACACAGTAAAGATGATTATTGAAGGCTGCGTTGGGGTCTTTTACCTCTCAGTGCACTTTTTTTCACTGAAAGATATTCTGAAATGTTTGAAAAAGTAAAATCATGTATGGAACTTAGTATTGCATAAAATTAGGAACCAATTGTGTATTTAACCATTTAATCCTGGACATCCTTAAATTTACAAATGTCTTTCAGAAGTTTCTTTTGGATAATTATGAATAGTCAACAATCTTTTGACTATTTCAGACAAAGTTCTTCCTTTGGCTGACAAATTATGGCTAGGTGATAAAATAGGATAGTGAAGCTTTTCCTTAAAAATTGTATACTCCCTTTTAGCCAATGCAATAGCTAAATATATAGAGAGAGCTTGAAACTCCAAATAAGTACTTTGGATGAAGGTAGATCTGGAAGGAAACTTTATATTTTGAAATGCTGATTTAAACCGTGAGAAAAGTAAGGTGGATACTCAGAAAAGCCTTAATGTATTATTGTCGAAGTATATTATAAACTTGCTCAGTTGAAGGCAATTAAATGTTGGCTATCTTCTGTGACACAAAAAAATGCTGAACACAAGACTATCAAAATAATAAATTTAGCTACAGGCAAGTCTGAAAAAAGTGTAGAGTGTGTGTTTTTTTTTTTTTTAGTTTTTCAATGTTTATTTTAGCTTTGGGGGGGTACATGTAAAGATTTGTCACTGAGGCTTGCTGTACGAAGGATCCCGTCACTTAGATAGTGAGCATAGTCCTGATAGGTAGCCTTCCAACCCTCTCCCTCTTTTTACCCTCCTCCCTCAAGCAGTCCCCAAAATCTACTGTTCCCGTCTTTGTGTCCAAGTGAATTCTGTGTTTACCACAAGTGAGAACATGTGGTATTTGGTTTTCTGTTCCTGCATTAGTTTGCTTAGGATAATGGCCTCCAGCTACATCCATATGGCTGCAAATAACATGATTTTGTTCTTTTTTATGGCTGCATAGTATTTCATGGTGTACATGTACTATATTTTCTTTATTCAGCCTACTGTTGATGGGCTTCTTGGTTGAGTCCATGTCTTTGCTATTGTGAGT